CAGGCCCTGCCCGTCCCGGGGCTGCCCAAAATAGCGCCGGGGCCCCGGGGACCCGCAGCACAACAGCCTGACGCAACCGGCCCCAGCCCCAGCCCCCTCCCCAGTGCCTGTGAGGACAGAAGTGCACACGCGCACACATGTGGCACCGAGGCGTCCGACACACGCACACGCCCAGAGTCTCAGTGCTCCTGGCATGAGGTTGTCGTTTTCCTGGTGTGTGAATGGGCGTGTGCGTGTGTAAGTCCCAGACACCAGGGGTCTGTGTGTATGTGCGTGTGTGCACTGGGCGGTGTGTGCCATGTGCTCCGTGCATCCCTGCCACACGTGTGTCCTGTCCTTGCTGCTGGGCCTCAGCCGACACACGCACACGCCCAGAGTCTCAGTGCTCCTGGCATGAGGTTGTCGTTTTCCTGGTGTGTGAATGGGCGTGTGCGTGTGTAAGTCCCAGACACCAGGGGTCTGTGTGTATGTGCGTGTGTGCACTGGGCGGTGTGTGCCATGTGCTCCGTGCATCCCTGCCACACGTGTGTCCTGTCCTTGCTGCTGGGCCTCAGCCTGCATGCGTGCCACTGGCGCCCCCTCCCCCCATGTGGGCATGCCTCGTCCCAGGCATGCGTGTGTGAAGGCACGCGTGTGGGGGGCGGGCCCTGGTCAATCCCCCCCAAGGTGATTGGAAAGGAAGAAGCTGAGTACTGGGGGGCCCCCGGGGGGGGGCGGACACCTGGGTCCTGCTCCCAGGGGAGCAACTCGGGGGACCCCCAGCCCAGCCCCCTCTCCCTTTCCGGAGAACCCAGACATCCGGGCTCCCGGCCCCCTGCCCCCTGCCATCCCCTCCCAGGGCTGGGAAAGAACCAGGCGTCCGGCTCCCCCAGCCCCCCTCCCCCGGGGCAGCTGGGGGGCGCCGGGCGGGTGGGATCACGGCCACATGGTCCCAGCCACCCCCCCGGGGGGTCTTTGTTTGCCCCCCCCCAGCAGGCCCCGTTCCCACGAGGCTCCATTACCCCGGCGTTACCCCGGCGACGGGCCTGGGAAGCCAACAGCTTTCCCTGACACCCGGATTGATGGCCCCAGACGCCTGGGTTGTCTGGGAGGGGAGGGGGCCCAGGGGTGAGGGGGGGGTGACGCCTGGGTTTGTTGGGAGGGGAGTGGGGCCTAGGGATGAGAGCAGGGGGGCCCGGATGCCTGGGTCCCATCGAACGGCCCAGTGCTCCTTGCCAGCCCTGCGATGCGCCCAGCTCTGGGGTGCGGCCTGGCCCCGGGGGAGGTTGCCAGGACTTGCTATTTCCGGGGGTGGGGGGCATTTTCCGAGCGGGGCCGCGGGGGGGTGAAGTCATGGAAAGAGCCCGGTAACGAGGCCCCAGCGGCCCGGCCTGGATGGACCGGGCCCCAGGGGAGGTGCAGGGAAAGCAGCTCGTTATGGGCCTGCTAATTACAGCCATGATGAGCGGGTTGGGCCTCAGGCCTGCGCCTGCCCAGAGCCCTGAGCCTGGCCCGGGCAGCCCTGCCTGTGCCCTGGCACCCGCTCCTGCTGCCCCTCAGCCCTGCTATGTAGGTGCCCACCTACCATCCTACCTACCCCCCTACCTACCCCCCTACTCACCCACACACCTACCTCCTTACCTAGCCACCCACCCACCCACCTACCTTCCCCTCTACCCACCCACCCATGCACCTACCTACCTACCTACCTACCTATCCACCTACCAGCTCATCTACCCACCTACCTACCCACATACACACCCACCCACCTATCTACCCATCTATCCATCTTCTTTGTGTCCATGCACCTCTGTATCTACCTATCTCTCTGTTCATTTGTGTATTTACCTATCTATCCATCCACCTCTCCATCCATCCATCTCTCCACTAACACACCCTCCCATCCCTCCATCCGTCTCTCTCTGTATCCATCCCTCTTTTCCACTGCCCCCTCCCTGGAGCCGTCTGTCTCTGTGTCTGTTTGTCTGTCCCCCCCACTCCTCCCTCCCCTGTCCCAGCCCTGGCCTGTGTGTGAGCATTGGGGGTCACCCCTCCCTGTCTCTGTGGTGACCCCCCACTCCTCATCCCCTGGTGGGGGTGGGGGGGCACATTGCAGTAGAGCCAGTGACCCCCTCCCCCCAGCACCATCTGTCTGCACTGGCACAGCGTGGGGGG